TGGTCTCGATCTCCTGACCTCGTGATCCACCCGTCTTGGCCTCCCAAACTGCTGGGATTACAGGCGTGAGCCACTGCGCCCGGCCTTTTTTACTTTTTAATAATAGTTGTTCTGACAGGTTGCCTCACATGATTCTTGTCTCTAATTTTCAATAGGTCAACTTGTGCCTTTAGCCTTCCCAGGAAGAAACAACCAAGGGGATGAATTTATATGAAAATAAAAGAATCCTTTGTCCCTACTTCATGGTTACTCTACAGATGCTCTCTGTCTCTCCTGCTGAGACCTCCTCTCTGCGGGCTGGGGTGGTCTCCTTGCCATTTCTGATGGATACCTCTAGGGACTAGGATGTGTTTCCTCCCTGAGTCTTCGCCCTTTTCTAAAGACGCCACCCTGGTCCACTTTCTCCCACCATAACATGGAGATTGGAGCCCTTGTTTGCAATCTCCTCCTCTCCAGTTTCCCGTTGCACTCCTAGCTTGCTCATTCTCTTTCTCCTGGGGTGGGGAGTGATGCATCTTGCTTCCCACCTCCAAGCTTCTTTGAGACTGCACAAGGATCCCCATCCTATCACTCAACTGTCAACAGAGTGCAGCAGGGACCACTTCCTATGTGTGCAGACGCCATGGATACATGAGACCAACCCTTACACCATCTACGAGTGAGCCGCATTATCCCTACTCGGTGACTCAAGCCTGTAATCCCAGCACTCTGGGAGGCTGAGGCAGGTGGATCACCTGAGGTGGGGAGTTCGAGACCAGCCTAATCAACATGGAGAAACCCCATCTCTACTAAAAATACAAAATTAGCCGGGTATGGTGGCACATGCCTGTAATCCCAGCTACTCAGGAGGTTGAGGCAGGAGAGTCGCTTGAACCCGGGAGGCAGAGGTTGCCGTCTGCCAAGATCGTACCACTGCACTCCAGCCTGGGCAACAAGAACAAACTCCGACTTCAAAAAAAAAAAAAAAAAAAAGATAACCTTACAGAGAGAGGAGGTGTGGGAATTGAGGGAAGTGACTTGATTTGCTAGGCTGGAACCCAGTATATGCTAGGACGGTACCAATGGAAGGGCTTCTGGTGCCAACACCTCAATGAGCTTCCTTTCTTTCTCCCTCCCGCAGGACCCCAGCCATGATAGGCTGCTCGTTTGTGGTCAACAGGAAGTTCTTCGGTGAAATCGGTCTTCTGGATCCTGGCATGGATGTGTACGGAGGAGAAAATATTGAACTAGGAATCAAGGTTTGTGACATGGTGTCCCTTCCTCTTGGTGTGTCCATGTTTGTGAGCAGAGCTGCTTGATCATCTGTGGGGTGTATTTAAAGCTTCTTACAGCTAATGAATGACAGATTCGTTTACTCCGCTCTGTCCCTGGGAGATGCATGAGCTGCATTGTCACCCCTCCTTAGGTAGGGAAACCTAGGCTTTCCCCTCTTTAAATGTTGGCTGATAGATTTCATGCCATGGCAACCCACTCTGGGCATTAGCTGGAGAGGGTGGTTCCCACTCCCATTCAGTTTTGTTCTCTTCTTAAATGTTTCTTAAATGATCTCCTTAAATTAATACTTTTAGGCCAGGCACAGTGGCTTATGCCCGTAATCCCAACACTTTAGGAGGCCACGGTGGTAGGATCACTTAAGGCCAGGCATTCAAGACAAGCCTAGGCAGCAGAGCAAGACCCTGTCTCTACAAAAAATGAAAAATTAGCCAAGCATGGTGGTGCATGTCTGTGTCCCAGCTACTCTGGAGAGTGAGGTAGGAGGATGGCTTGAGCCCAGGAGTTCGAGGCTGCAGTGAGCTATGATGGCACCACTGCACTCCAGCCTGGGCAACAGAGCAAGAGAGACCCCGTCTCTCTAACAAAGGCATTTGTGGTTTAGTTTTTACACCCGCAGATTTATTTTTAACAGTTTTATTGAGATGTTATTGACATATACAGATTTTGGTGGCTCACACCTATAATCCCAGTGACTTGGGAAGCCGAGTCAGGAGGATCACATGAGCCCAGGAGTTCAAATCAGGCTGGGCAAAATAGCGAGACACAGTCTCTACAAAAAATAAAAAATTAGCTCACACGTATAATCCCAGTGACTTGGGAAACCAAGTCAGCAGGGTCATTTGAGCCCAGGAGTTCAAAACCAGCCTGGGTGACATAACAAAACCACCAACTCTACAAAAGATAAAAAATTAGCCAGGTGTGGTTGTGTGAACCTGTAGTCCCAGCTACTCAGGAGGCTGAAGCAAGAAGATCGCTTGAGCCCAGGAGTTCAAGGCTTCAGTGAGCCATGATTATGCCATTGCACTCCAGCCCAGGTGACAGAGCAAGACTCTGTCTCATACAAAAACAACAACAACAACAACAAAAAAAAAAAACAAAACAACAAAAAACTACATGTTTAAGGTGTACAGGTGAGGTTTGGATATACATATACATTGTGAAATGAGCACCAAAATCATGCTAATTGACACATCCATTACCTCCATCTAATTACCACTGTGTGTGGGGGCTGGTGAGAAGATCTAATTTAAGATCTATCCTCTTAGGAAATTAAAAGTCTACAATACCGTATCATTAACTGTGGCCACCATGCTGTACATTAGATCTCCAGAAATGATTCATTTTGTTTTGCAGTGACCTGGCAGGAAAGGTCTGAGTGTGAGGCTCTGCAGGCTTGGTGGTGATGGTGGGAACTGCTTAGCAGGCAGGACTGTATGGCTGTCTCTGATCCCTGAAGCAAGGAGGGAGGTCCTGGGTTCTTCCCCAGCAGCACAGTCCTGTCCACCAACGCCCCTGTACCACCAGATTGTGGGATCACGTACATTCTCCCTTCACTCCCTATTTTTTGTTATTTATTTATTTATTTTATTTTATTTGAGATGAAGTCTCGCTTTGTTGCCCAGGGTGGAGTGCAGTGGCATGATCTCGGCTCACCGCAGCCTCCATCTCCCAGATTCAAGTTATTCTCCTGCCTCAGCCTCCCAAGTAGCTGGGATTACAGGCAGGTGCCACTGCACCTGGCTATTTTTTATATTTTTAGTAGAGATGGGATTTCACCATGTTGGCCAGACTGGTCTTGAACTCCTGACCTCAGGTGATCTTCCTGCCTCGGCCTCCCAAAGTGCTGGGATTACAGGCATGAGTCCCCATGCCTGGCCTTTATTTAATTTAATTAATTAATTAATTAATTTTTTGAGAAGGGGTCTTGCTTTGTTCCCCAGGCTAGTGTAGTGGCACGATCTTGGCTCACTGCAAGCTCCACCTCCTGGGTTCACGCCATTCTCCCGCCTCAGCCTCCTGAGTAGCTGGGACTACAGGCGCCTGCCACCATGCCTGGCTAATTTTGTTTTTGTATTTTTAGTAGAGACGGGATTTCACTGTGGTAGCCAGAATGGTCTCAATCTCCTGACCTTGTGATCCACCCACGTCGGCCTCCCAAAGTGCTGGGATTACAAGCTTGAGCCACTATGCTTGGTCTATTTTATTTTTTATGTTTCTTCTTTTAACTTTCATTTTAGGTTCAGGGGTTCATGTGCAGGTTTATTATATAGGTGAATTGTGTATTACCTGTATTGGTAATTGACACCTCAATGAGCACAGATTGGTGCACAGATTATTACCCAGGTAATAAGCATAGTACCTGATAGGTAGTTGTTTGATCCTCACCTTCCTCCCACCCTCTGCCCTCAAGAAGGCCCCAGTGTCTGTGGTTCCCTTCTTTGTGACGATATGTGCTCAATGTTCAGCTCCCGCTTATACGTGAAAACATGCGGTATTTGGTTGGATGTTCCTGCGTTAATTCAGTTAGGATAATGGCCTCCAGCTTCATCCATGATCTCCTTCTTCTTACAGCTGTACAGTATTCCACTGCGTACATGTACAACACTCTCTTTACCCAGTCTGCCATTGATGGGCATTTAAGTTGATTCCATGTCTTCACTATTGTGAATAGTGCTGCAATGAACATACGTGTGCATGTATCTTTATGGTAGAATGATTTATATCTTTTGGTTCTATAACCAGTAGTAAATGAGATTACTGGGTCAAATGGTAATTCTGTTTTAAGTTCTTTCAGCCGTTGTGGAAAGCAGTTTGGGGATTCTTTACTCCTTGTTGATGGGCTGGAATGAACGGTCCCTGCAGAGCCCAGTCTGCCCCCAGGCAATTTCTCCCTGGCTTTGTCTCCTGCATGACAATTCAGCTCCCCTGCTGCTCAGGGTGGGTCTTTATTAAAGTGTCAGTTGCCTCAGGGTCATAGATGTCACCCTAGAGTGTAATTACCTGCCTCTTATAGTACTTCCAGGCATCTCCAGCAGCTGGAGATGGGGGAATAATTTTGCCTCTTAACTTTCCATAAACCACATCATCCTGCAGGCTGCAAGCTGATCTTGACATAAGCCTTGGTTTTCTGCCAGTTCTTAAAGTGGGATTGGGTGCTGTTGGTTGCAGAAAGGCAAAGGCCTGGGTTCCGAGTCTACACAGAATTCTCTGGTTCTCATGTTTCCAATCAGCATTCACCTCACCTGGGAACTTGTTAGAAGTGAAAATTCTTGGGCCTCATCCCAGACCTACTGAACCAGAAACTCCAGAGTGGCAGGGAGTCCAGCTCCCTGTGTTTACCAAGCCCTCCCACCCCACCAGGTAACAGTTACGTGCCCTTGTTGGAGAGCTACTGGTCTACCCCTAGGTTTAGCCAACTTCCTGGCACATGCATGGCCTTTTAGTAGAAAGGAGCCTAAGGGAGAATCCACCTCTTTCTAGTCCCTTCTCCAGGTGTCCCTCCATGACCACACTGGCCCAGAGTGAGTCCTTTCTTCTTACTCCAGCCTACACAGCCAGAGCCCTGTAGGCACCAGCATCTACTACCTTTTTAACTTCATGTACAGGTGCCTCGACCAGGTGACTACAGGGTTCCTGATGACAGAGCTCCCTTTTTCAAATGGAATAATATACACAAGGCGCTTCAGAGACAATACTACTTCTCCTTTCATTTTGTGCTATTTTGTACTGCTTAGAGCTCAAATGAGTTGCATAAGAAATGCGTTCTTAAGAAATCCATCCCCACCACCTGAATAAAGAAGCAGGGCTTTATGTAAATATATATACGTGCGTATATATAATTTTCATGTAGTGTACATACATACATTTACATATACAAGCTTACCTATAAGTAATGACCCAAAACCCTATACTTTCATTCAATGGAAAAGTTTTAATGTGAGAACGCTATTTTCTTGATTTTTTTTAATCCAAGAAATGGGTCAATCTGTGATCTTTCTATCTTTGAAATTTTTTGTTACTTTTTAATTCCATCCTCAGTAAGTAAAGATCTGTTACAAGAACACAAGAATAGAAAGTCTTACCCTGAACAAAAATAACAGTTGACTCTAGGGCTCTGGCCTGCGTGAAAGGCAGCTTGCCTGTGACCAAAACAATCAATACAGAAAAGGACGTTTAAAAAAGCCAGAATTGAAAAAAATAAATGAGATGGAAATTGGAAGGTTTCATCTTGCTCTGAGTAATAGTAATCAGAAACTATTAACAAAGCGTATTATAGTAACGCGTCTAAATGTTAAGAGAGAAAAAAAAATTCTCCAAGGACAGAAGAAAAGATAGGTTACTTTTAAATGACGTAAAGTCTTTCTCCAATATATCAGTCCATTTACGAAGAAAAGGCGTTCTCTTCTTCTGTTCTCTTACATAAAAACATGGCACCCAAAACTGTTGCATCTTGCTGGGAAGTTCTTTCTAAAGGAAGACAAGGGAAACACACTTTCAGATCCCCAGACTACCAAAGGATGTCTTGGCTTTATCATGAATCCCATGGACTGAATAAAACGTAGAATTCCTGTGTGGGTGCATTGAATTATTAAAACATTTGTAAGAATGATTTATTTATTTTGGGTATATATCCAGTAATGGGATTGCTGAGTTGAATGGTAGTTCTAAGTTTTGTGAGAAATCTCTACACTGTTTTCCACAGTGGTAAAGTAATTTACATTCCCACCAGCAGTGTACAAGTGTTCCTGTTTTCTACAGCCTTGCCAACATCTGTTGTTTTTTAACTTTGTGTGTGTGTGTGTGTGTTGTTTTTTTTTTTTTGAGACAGAGTCTTGCTGTGTCGCCCAGGCTGGAGTGCAGTGGCACGATCTCAGCTCGCTGCAACCTCTGCCTCCCAGGTTCAAGTGATTCTCCTGCCTCAGCCTCCCGAGTAGCTGGGACTATAGGTGCGCACCAGACCCAG